TCCGTTTTGTAGACGACACAAAATTACATTTCGCAGCAACAAATGTTGGAGAATCCGTTGTTTATTTCGAATAGAAAGTTTGACTTAAATCAAGTTGCACATGCACTATTCATACAGCGCTGAATGGCTAGCATTCGATCTAAGTTGTACCAATTCTTGGCCATTCCTCCAAGCTCTCCGTAGAAATGTTCTATAGAAAATTTTCGTGCTTTCTCAAAACTGTTTTCTTCGAAATGATTTCGGAATTGCACGAGACGGTATTGCATTTCGATTTGTTAAGAAACACTTGACGAAGAAAATGTTCTTTTTTGATACTTGTTTATTTTTTCAGCTGTTCCATAGTTACATTACTTAGATCTTTCGACCGATTGTCGTCGTTTATATTTTAAATGAATTGTATTTTTGTATTGTAACTTTCGTGAGACATACTAAATAAATTATAATGTTTTCGGGTTACTCACATACTTACGTACTGATCAGTAGCAGCGCGACAGTCGCCGCGTCGCGAGTCGTGAAATGCTGCTCTTGAATATGAGCCTCTAGCATGGCTTGAAACAAGTCGAGTTCCTCGTCAAATTATTACGTGCCGAAGCCGAAAACATGATAATTTATTGAATCGTATTTTGTTAAATAAGTATTTTTAAATGAATTGTATTAGTGGGTCCCGTGTCTTAACAGGTCACCCTTTGGTATCTTAACATAGGACACACAATGTAAATACTATATTATGTTGCTCATTGCCTAAAGATTTCAATGTGATCCTGGACTTTGTTCTATTCCCAAGAATTGCTCAGTTATCACAATTGCATCATCATCATCAACAGTCTATAAATGCCCACTGCTTAGCAAAAGCCTCTTCTCGCACGGAGAAGGTTTAGTCACCACGCTTGCTCAATGCGGGTTGGCGATTTCAAACTTAAAATTGTAAATTATAAGCCCAGGTTTCCTCACGATGTTTTTCCTTCACCGTTAGTCAGTGGTATCTATATAATCTTAGAAAGTACATATAAGTCGGAAAAAGTCACATTGGTACTTACCGTTGGTAGGTTTCAAACCCGCACCGCCATGCATGAGAAGCGGGCGTCTTAAAGCACAGATCTTAAATCACAATTGCAATTAGCGAGAAATATACAAGTTTCAACGAATTTCAACGTCTCCTGCGACAAACTGTTATAAATAGTTATAATACATTATTAAATCAATCTTTTCTCCATAATACCACACCACAGTTTAGCCCGTTACATCACTACAGCCAAACAATAACGCAACACGCAGTATATAACAAACTGCACAGAATATAACATAAAGGGTGTTGCCACAAAGCTTTGGGATAAAGAGATTAATCATAGGCCGTGAACGTGGTTAACCAGCGTTTGTGTGAATCGCGCGTGGTATGGATGTGGTAACACCGACGTGTAGTCAATGCATGGAATTTGAAGTTTTCGGCGGACTTTTAACTAGTCGTTGGCTATGGTTTTGCTTGTGTGTTTTTTATGTTTTTTGCGAGGTCTCTAAAGATTGAATAGGTTATAACTGAAAATTGAGATTATTTATAGTCGAAAAATTGATATTATCCATGGGATTATACATAACAGAAATGTTTTTGGGCTTAGGGACAATTTTAGATACTTGCCGCCATCTAAACAATAAACTCTTTTGTTCCATAACTAAATAACTATCTCCTTTTCTGCTCCTCTTATTATTTTCTTCTTCTCTTCTGATTTATTTTATTTGCGGAACCAAGACATTTATTCATGTCCTTTGGACTTCAGTGTTCCGGTATTTTCATGCTTGTAACTACTGTAGATACCGGCTAACTGAAGTTGCAGCGTTTTGGAGAGGTTGTGGCGGGGTTACCCCAATTAAAAAAAAACTATATCTTTTGTTTTGATTCTTTACTTGAATAGACTAACTGGACGATTTTTAGATTTCCTGAATAACTTGTAAAAAGAAAACACTTGTAAAGAGCAGCAACAACAAAAAAAAAACAACAAAACACTAAACAATTAAAAATAACAATGAAATAGTAAATAAAAATACAAGTACAAAGTGATCTATGTGGCTATCGCCGCGTGTGAGCATTCCATTCCCTGTGGTTGTAGTGTAGCGGTAAAAACGTACTGCGATGGCAAAAACCCCGACTTTTATATATCGGAGAATATTTTTCCTTAACTGGAACGCGTTTTATAGGTGTTACGAGGTATATTAGTTACGTGTCCCCGTACGTTCTCTTTGGCACGAACAGATTTGACGTAACCTTTTTATCCATTAAAATGAGATGCAATATTGTATTTTTCTTTCGTACACGTTCTTCTTTGACGTTTTTATTATAGTTTGAGCTTTGATAATGTTTTTGTTTTGTTTTTTTTGCGGGATAAGCCGGTAAACGAGCTGACGGATCACTTGATGGTAAGCATTCGGCGTGGGTCGCCCATGGACACCCGAAACACCAGAGGCATCACAATTGCGTTACCGGTTCTTTGGGAAATTGGAGGAGTGTTAGAGGTTCAGAGACTGGGGAGATTTTTATGTGAGACCGTGATATCACTCCGGTCGAGCCAGTCCATTTGTTTATTTTCTTTGCTTTGGAAGGAATCTATCTGATTTTTGGTCTGATATACATCGGAGGAGTATATGTGTTTGAAGTTTGCTCACTATTATGGTATTTAATTTTGAGTTATATCGCTATTACTAAATAGGAGTCTATATTTTCTTTTGACGGTAGCTTCTTTAGCGTTTTATATGCTTATTCAAAATAGATTCACTATTTCGAGGAGCCGACATTCAAAATTAAACGGATTGAATGTCACATACATACGTATAATAAATATAATAGTTGAATCCCTGAACCATGAATACTTTATTTACCATTTCAAAACGTAAAGACTAAAAAATCCTACGCATTAAAGTTAAAAACGAAACACAAAAGTAATTATAAGTCCTTCTAAAAATAACTCGACAAAATGTATTTTGAAACAAATCAAAATAAAACCTTGTACCGGTACCACACAGTAACAACTTTACTTACGCTGTTAGAATACAAAACCGTTGTGTTACGTATGTACTGTGAAGTCGGTAAAACTGACAGTTAACTAGAATAGCGCGCGTACGATATAACTTTATTTGACTTTTGCTGCAACACTGTTATGTACGAAAGACTGTATGGAAAACTATTTATTTTATGCAATAATAGAAGGATTTTTATAATTTTTTCATTTTATCCAACTTAAAGACAACTATTGTGAATGTTTTTCTTAATGTTACATATTAATTCGCCACGGACTCTTGGTCCGTGCCCTTGTCATACAATTTTTTATTACAATAAGTCTAATCAATATTTATATAGTAGGTACCTACATTACAGTCAACCACATCTATTTAACTAAACTAAAAGAATAAATTACATAATAATTAGCTATTATCCATTTATATCTATTTCGGTGGCTCTACGAAATCAGTCCACTAACATGATGGAAGAGCCGATCTGACCCAGCAGAAGCATTTTGAGTGTTACGAATCACAATAAAATTGTAGCTTTTCCGAAATTCCTGTTAAGTATAAATTGCTTGTAAGTACATTGCACAGTTCTATATGTGCTTGCTAGATAATTGTAATCGATTTGTTCTTACTCCTTCTTGCACTTGCCCTTTACCTACCAAAGATCGATACTTTTTTTATGCTTAATAGGTCGACGTTTGACCTCCATCTCGCCTGGTGGTAAGCGATGATGTGGCCGACGATGGAACCCTCCTACCTATGAGCAACCTGTTCACTCGGGACTTCAAGACACCCAAGTCATATTTTGTCGGGAAAGACAGACTCTGGCAAGGAATTCCATTCCTTAGCGGTTCGCATGAGGAAGCTTGACGCGAAACGCTTCGTGTGGATAAAATAAATAACTAAATAGAGTATAAACTTAACCTAGGTCTTAAGTATATTTACTTCAGCTGCATATTTACACCACATTCTTTGTTATATACATAGCCGGATTTTCAAGTTTTTAACTATAGGTAATAATTTCACATAGAAGTTATTATAAGAACTACGGTTTTACATGCTGTCTGACTATTCCCTGGTGTTTACTCGACAATTCATAATACATACGTCGTAAGAAGTTTCCAGATATTTACCTTACAGTTGCGTGCACCGTAACGTGAATGATTGGGCATAGCAAGCCGTGAAGGCACGATATATTAAGGCACTTACTACTTTTATACACCTTAAGTCGTTACAGCAAGGTTCATTTTTGAAGTTCATTATTGTATTATGTAGGTATGTACAGTTTTGACAGGCCTTAAGTTGTTATAGTTAAGGTTTATTATAGGAAGCCAAGTTTGTTGTATAGACATGTGTGTAATGCTTGCTTCAGGAGTCAATTATTGAGGTCTTTAATAATAATTTATATTGGAATGTTTCGTACTACCTAATTACTTAAGGAATTTTGTTGATGTAGTGAAAATTAACACATACATAACATTAGTTATTATGTTTTCAGCTTACTCACGTAACTGTTTGACGAGGACGCGGCGACTATCGCGCTGCTACATAGTTTCATGAAGATGAATGCTGCTCATAAATATGAGCCTCTAGCATGGCTAGAAATTAATCGAGTTCTTCGTCAAACATTGAATATAAACACATCAAACATTCATGATGTGCTGCTCCTCAAATTGTGAAAATAATTATGAGCGATTTTTATATTTACCATTGACATCAAAAATAGTCCCATTTTGAGACCCTTACAAACTTAAATCTTTTTGCTTATAATTAGACTAACAAACTCGGATTGGGCCTAATAGGGCTAATGCCGATTCAGAGTCACGGAGAACCTAACGGATTACCGGGGCTCCGGCTCGAAGTGCAGGAGAATGAAGGGTGTGGTTTTTAGTCATTAAGAGTCTGACACTCCCTTCCACCTCACCCAGGTGGGAGCAGTATTCGATGATTTTCCCCCCTTAAAAAAATATCAACAAACTAACATAATCTTTCCATTGTTTCAGATGCATAATCAACAAAAAAGTGCAATGAAGTTAACAAAACAAAGTTAAGTGAAAACAATGGGAAAAGTGTCAATGATTCAAACATGAAGATTTACAAGAAATTATTTTGGACTTTATTGCAAGGCTTCGTTTTGTTACCGACGATAGCGTTGCGAGGTAAGTGCTGTAATAAAATACACATAAAACATCACGCTTTTATTTCCCTTGGGATAAGCAGGTGTATGTTTCTGGAGACGTTAAGTGTGGGAGTGCCATGCTTCGGCACGAATAGGTCGGTTCGACCGGAGTGATACCACGGCCTCACAGAAAACCGACGTGAAACAACGCTTGCGTTGTGTTTCGTCGTGTGAGTGAGGTTACCGGAGGCCCAATTACTTTTATTAGGTGTATCCTAGTTGAGACATGAAGCACATTATAGCATTACTAGCTTAACCCGCAACTGCGGCTGCATTTTTCTAAACCCTTTAGTATATCAGTCCCGTCAAAATCGATCCAGCCATTTTAAAGATTAGCCAGTACAAATAGACAGACAGACATAAATTGTAAAATGTGTTATTTTTGTTATATGCATCGTATGTTTATATGCATGTATTAAAAAGTGGATATTTCCATATTACTTACAGACACTCCAATTTTATTTATTTATGTAGATTATTTGTTCTGATTCTGTAATGAATTATAATTTTAGAATAATCGGCTATAAGTCGTATGCTAATGAATTATAGTTCAAATTATCCCATCTATCATTCCTTGCAAGTCATCATTATAACACGCCTTTAACCCCATAGGGGTAGGCAGAAGTGCACATTACGGCACTTAATGTCACTGTACAATGTAACACCTACTTTTCACCATTTATGTTATGAGTCTCATATAACACTGCCTCGTTGGCCGAGTGATCGTAAGTGCGACTGCCGGGCAAGGGGTCTCGGGTTCGATTCCCGGGTCGGGCAAAGTATTACTGGGTTTTTAAATAATCTCAGTAGTACGGAGTCTGGAATTGTGCCCGGTATGGCAACAGGCTCACCCCCTATTATATGGGACTCATAACATAAATAGTGAAAAGTGGGTGTTACAGTGGTATAATGTGTACCTCTACCTACCCCTTCGGGGATAAAAGGCGTGATGTTATGTTATGTATGTCTCATATAACAGGGGTGAGCCTATTGCCAAATACCGAGCTTAATCCCAGACTACTGAGATTTATAAAAACTCAGTAATACTTTACTCGACCTGAAAATCGAACTCGAGACCCCTTGTCCAGCGGTCGTACTTGCGACCACTTGGCCAACGAGTGCTTGCAAGTAAGTTTACAATTACCAAACATCTTGAACCACAAAACTTGATTCATATCTTGTCACTTGATTCATATTTAATCAATAGTAATAACTTAAACTCGATCAATATTAACGCTCGTCTCAAAGGACCAAAATTTTAGTATTAACTAATTTGAATGGATAATCAAAGGACCCGCTAATAGTTCGAGAGCTTGTAAATGAAATGTTACTCCATGCTGATACTGAATATCTAAGGCTTTTAAAGTGAGTGTGTTGCCTATATGTCTCTGATATAATTCTATGCTTAATTTGTTGGTAGGTAGAGGTGTAAATTGCATGAACTTTTTTCTGTGTAAAAAGATTAAGACAATAGAAAATTAGTTCGTTGCTAAAAATTAAGGTTAGACGTTGACTTGATGTTACTATTGAAACTTTTTGTTTTTCTCTCTCTTTATCTCTTTCTTCCTCTCTATTCTCCTTTTTTAAATACGTTACAAACAAACATCAAAAATATTGAAGATTGCACATGTTGACACGATAGACATTATACATTTTTTTTATAATGACTATAGTGAGACATACTAAATTAACTAAAATCGCGGGTTCCTCACGTGAATATACTGAGAAAAGCTCTACTAGTAACCCGCGATTTTAGTTAATACGTGGAACAATAAAACTAATAAACCAATAATGGAGTAATATACTTTAGTATATTGGATATATAATGATATACCGATATAACTGTTCAATTTATGGTCATTTGAATATTGAGACTGCCTCGTTGGCCAAATGGTCGCTAGTGCGACTGCCAGGCAAAGAGTCTCGGGTTTGATTCGCGGGTCGGGCAAAGAATAACTGGGTTTTTAAAAATATGTCAGAAGTAGCACAAAATCTGGAATTGAGTACATGGCAATAGGCTCATCCCTTATTACAAAGGACTCATAACTAGGTATTCTCATATGTAGGTGTTACATTGTACAGTGGCATTAAGTGCTGTAATGTGCACCTCTGCCTACGCCTTCGAGGCGTGACGATATGTTATGCATGTATTGAATTCAGTACAAATTTTAGGAAACATAAGCTGACTGCCTATATATAGTAACAAAAAATTCTTTAGGTACGCCAAGATACAGTGAATACAAACATATTAAATACGTGTTCCCAGATTTTAATATATTACAAACATGCAGTTAATATCAATCTCATGAGCTATATAATTATTATTATTCAATAACATTAAGCTGAAGCTACCATAGCCATTAACAAAACCTCACCTAACTAAGTGATACTGATTGACACTAAGTGGTCACTAATGCAACACCAGACTACGTATCTGGCAGACTTCCAAAACTACAGCAGACTATTTACATAAAGTGTTACGTGTGGACGGTATCTGGAATTGAATCTATAGGAGTCTGGGCAGGGAATAGAAATGAGAAAAATTGTTTCTGGACGGAATTATGCTAACCACATTGGCAAGGCTCTTTTTTTTTTAAAGGGGGAAAATCATCGAATGACTGCTCCTGCCTGGGTGAGGCGGGAGGGAGTGTCAGACTCTTACTGACTAAAAACCACCCCGTTCCTTCTCCAGAACGTCGAGTCGGAGCCCCGGTTACTCGTTAGGTTCTCCGCGACTCCGAATCGGCATCGGCCCTATTGGGCCCCATCTGTGGTGCTCTGATGGCTCTTTGAAGCGCGCGCGGAACGCGATGCGCCGTACGCTCGGGTACATTGGCAAGGCTAGGGCTAGCTTCTGAGCAACGTGGTGCAGTTTGACTGTAACTTATCAGTTCTTTGTGATCTCTAAATTATTGTTCCAAGTCTCAAATATGATCGTCAAGTATGTAGCATGAACAGACGTGCACATATACAAATGAAACACTCTGTTTTCAGTAGTGATGTTAATAAGTTCCATTATAGTGGTGGGTGAGGTCGTGAGCGTAATCAATACATTAGTCTCAACTTCAAGCCCCGACTAATTTTTGAGAACTTTCAAAAACTCAATTACACTGTAAGACATAGAAAATGAATTCAACGCCCGAGGGATAGTCGTACTACTTGACCGTCTAATTTTCTTATAACTTACTATTAAACACACACGTCAATGTCGTGGTGGCCCGGAGGTTGAAGACGCCTGCTTCTCATGCAAGAGGGTGCGGGTTCGAAACCTACCAACGGCAAGTACCAATGTGACTTTTACCGAGTTATGTGTACTTTCTAAGATTATTTAGTCACCACTGACAAACGGTGAAGGAAAACATCGTGAGGAAACCTGGGCTTATAATTTCTAATTATAAGTTTGAAATCGCCAACCCGCATTGAGCAAGCGTGGTGATTAATGCTCTAACCTTCTTTGTGTGAGAAGAGGCTTTGCTCAGCAGTGGGCATTTATAAGCTGTTAATGAAACACACACGTCACACACTACAAACCTAAGACAACCCGCATTCTCTTAGAAAGACAAATTCAAACTATATAATTTCACAATAGAACCATTATAACAACGTCAGCCAAAACGAGTTAATAAACCAAGTACATTACGGGGCAACGTAATCGAACTTTTTACTCACTGGGGGCTGATGTGAGTGTTTGAACGTCAATCCCCCCTTAACATTACAGCACAGTAGGGGAAAATTGCCACTGACACTTCAGAAAATTGTAGCCAGTCACCAACAAACATTTGCATTTTAAAAACTCCCTTCACAAGCAAAATTAACCCTTATATCCTTGCATATAAAGCCTCCTAGATTTATGATAAAGGTTCTTTAATAGTTTGCTAGTAGTTTGTCAGGCTGAAATTATTTCGTTAGTATAATTTGTACGGTATGAATAATGTGTAGGTGTAATTAATGTATTACATAAAAGCGATTAGCTGATACGTCTTTGGATAAGCGTGTTGGTTAATTGGTCTTTTGAGTCTTTTTATGGTCTTTTTGTGTAGTGTGAATTAGGGTTTATTGGAGGTATAGGTAATATACTTATTTAAAATTTTTGTGTCTGGGTCGATGTTGGCTAGTCGAAGTTGTATTAGTTAGAACATAGTGTCTAATAACTATAATATAATATACAATGAAAATTTACATAATAGCACGCCTAATATTTTTCAAAGAGGTAGGTAAAACTAGTGTTCTAACATTAAAAGGTAGTTCTTTTAATGTATATCTATATATATAAAATTCAAAGGTGATTGACTGACTGACTGATTGACTGACTGACATAGTGATCTATCAACGCACAGCCCAAACCGCTGGACAGATTGGGCTAAAATTTGGCATACAGATAGATGTTATGACGTAGGCATTCGCTAAGAAAGGATTTTGATAATTTCCACCCCCAAGGGGGTAAAAAAGGGGATGAAAGTTTGTATGAAACTTTGTCAGTTTTTAACTGATCGGGTTGAAATTTGGCATGCAGATAGATGTTATGAC